TCTGCTTGCCTGTATATCAAAAACAATCTCTGACTACTCATGGCTCAAGAAGCTTTTAAGCATCTGCTTGCCTGTATATCAAAAACAATCTCTGACTACTCATGGCTCAAGAAGCTTTTAAGCATCTTGTGATTGGTTGCAGCCCTCGAAGTCTCAGAGAAATAATTATTCGGATTTTTATTTCTACAAATTTCAATAGCATGTTGATTACGTTTTATAGTTGTCTATAGACATTGATAATTTACGAGATATATATATATATCATATTCCGTAATTTCTTTGTGCATCTTAACCCAAAAATTACCGATTTTTAAACATATTTTTCTCAACTATTTATGTACAAAAAGGTGGGAGGTCTTGGCATTCGTTGGTTTAAGTTTTTCTCTCTCACACACACACTATTAGTTACTGTTAGGGTTACCCATACACATTATATAGATAAAAAGTGTTTGTCTTGGTCAGTTGTTTTAGGGCCTGGACATAGACTGATGGTTAAGACAATCGACTTGCACTCTGAGGTTCGTGGGTTCGAATTCCGTCCTTTCAGTCGTGGGGGGGCGTTATAATGTGACGGTCAATCCCATTATTCGTTGACAAATAATAGCCCAATAACTGGCGGTGGGTAGTGTTGATTAGCTTCCTTCGCTCTAGTCTGTAGGTTCAAAATTAGGGATAACTAGTGCAGATAGCACTCGAGAAGCTTTGTGCGAAACTCGAAACAAAACAAAAAAAAATAGACCGTTTCGTTTCGAGTTTACTTACTGATTAAAATGTATTTTTACAATTTAAAGCTTTTACAGTGTACTTGAGAATGATCGCTCCAGTGATCGAAACGTCGTACCCGTTCTAAAAACAACTCTTCCTTACTGTAAAAACTGTAATTTATAATAAAACATACAAATAAACAGCTCTTTACACAAAGTGATGTAATATATGGACCCCACCAGTTGTGAAAGGCATAAGAAACAAACAATCGCTAATTTGATCCCGTGTCCTTCAGTAGAACACCGGACGGAACAGACAACCAAGTTTCAGTATATAACGGAGAATTATCCTGCTTTAAAGCTCTACTGCTTGTTGCTAATCTCCGTGTCTAAAATAGAAGAAAGTTTCTTACATTCCGTGGCTCGCTGAAGACCCCTGAACTCGAGATTTAAGCCGTTCATACTGAGGGAACAAGCGTGGACACAAGTTTTCAGTGCTTCTTCCCACTCCTCCTGATCGTGGGCTCTTTCCAAATATAAACGCACGGGATGATGGTACTGTATAGAGTAACAAAGAACACGTACATGTGTGGTGAATGATAATTAATCGTGGTAATGTTTTTGAATTTGAAAAATACAATTTTTTTAAATGATTTTCTAGCAATAAATATTTCGCCTGTCATTTAGAGGTTAGTTGATCGCCCGTGACGTAGTTCGCCTTTACTAGAGATATAAGAGCATACATAACTGTGTCGAATAACTGTATCTCAGCTAATGCTAACATTAAACAATCACTCAGATTGTACCTATGAATATTTTAAAGAACGGATAACTCGTTCTTTTATGAAACTGGTCTTGAAAGAACAGATGACTCGTTCTTTTATAAAACTGACTTTGAAAGAACAGATAACTCGTTCTGTTATAAAACTGGTCTTAAAAGAACAGATTAACGTTCTTTTATAAACTGGTCTTGAAAGAACAGATGACTCGTTCTTTTATAAAACTGGTCTTGAAAGAACAGATAACTCGTTCTTTTATAAAACTGGTCTTGAAAGAACAGATAACTCGTTCTTTTATAAAACTGGTCTTGAAAGAACAGATAACTCGTTCTGTTATAAAACTGGTCTTGAAAGAACCAGATAACTCGTTCTTTT